TGTTCACCAGGAGTCTATCTCGGTTGGACTCGCTGAACAGAGCCCCCGCTGTGAGGCAGGAGGCTGGAGCTCAGAGGCTCAGTGTTCGGAGGCGGTGCGGCTGCGTGACTTACCCTGGAGGAGGAGTGAGACCCCAAGGGGGTCTGGCACTGAACTGGTTCCTCTTAGAGACTATTCCAAAGCTGGGGCCGCAGCACCAATCCTGTGGGTCCATGACACCTCCTGGGGAGATGCTGATGAGAGTGGTGTGTCCTAAGCCCTGCCCCTCTCACAGAGATAGGTTTCACCATTCAGGGCAACCACACCTGTCTCTCCTCTCACTGATACTGCAAGGGCAGCCACGCTCCAGCTCCCCCCAGCCATTGCCTCTGTGGGGTGGAGACACACGTCCCTCTTCCTTCTGATCAGGGTGTGTCTGGGCTGCCGAACTCCGGGCACTCACTGTCATTCCCAGCACAGACAGGCTGTCCTAGGACACCTGCTCGCTTTCACTTCTGAGACGGATACAGAATAATTGCTACGGGGTAAAGTTACCACTCAGCTCTTTCTAAGCAAGCCTACATCATTCGTAAGGTAAGAAGATGACATAGTAAAAGCAATACAAGAACCTACACACCTGTTAATAGTCTTACCAGGCATTCCCTCACTCTAGTAGGGTGACCATATGTCCGGGTTTCCCCGGACATGTCCGGCTTTTGGGTCTTTAAATAGCCGTCCGGGGAGAATTTGTAAAAAGCTAAAAATGTCCGGGATTTCCCCCCGGACGGCTATTTAAAGACCCAAAAGTGGCTGACAGGGCAGCCGCGCTGGGGGAACCGCGGCAAGCCGGCGCCGCCGGCGCCACTCACCTTCCCTCCCTGGGCCCTGGGGCAGCGCGCAGCTGAGAGCTCCCGGCGCGGCGGCACCAGCCCACGGGGCCCCCCGCCCGGCCAGCAGGAGCCTACAGAGCGCAGCCCTGCGCCTGCCCCCGGCACACAGAGCGGCAGCGAGGGGGTCTTGCTCCCCTGCGTGCTGCAGCGGGGCGGGGCCTGTTGACTCGGGCAGAGAGACCCCCCGCCCCTCACCCCCTCCCCTCGACCCGACCCAACCGTAGGAAAGAGCCAGAGGGACTGGGAGGGACCTGCCTGCTGGATGCTTCCTGGGAGCCGCTCCAGGTAAGCACTGCTGGGCTCACCTGGCCCCCTGGCAGGTCCCTCTGGGGGGGCTCCCCTCAGACCCACTGCCCTCAGGCCCCACCCTGACCCTGTTCCTTCAGCCCCCCCCACAGTCCCCCCTCTCCCCCCCCCCCTCATCTCACCCTCTCATCCTGCATGAATGTGGAAATCTGTCCCGGATTCCAGGCTGTCGTTAGCCCCTGGGGCAAAAGATCAGCAGAGGTTTCCAAAGGGAAGTTTGCAGCCTTTGCTCAGACCCAAACATTTTCACTTAAAAAAAAAAAAACCCAAACCCATCCTGACACCCATCTGCTCTGTCCAGATTTGCTGTTATCCCTGTTGAGGCCAAAGTGGTTTGAAAAATTAAAAATCCTTGACACCATTGTGTTGCTTCCCCCTGTGTTGCTCGTTAATCTGATGGACCTGCCGATAATGAATAAAGATGGATGCCCTGGGAGCAATGTGTCAGGCAGACAGTTTGTCAAGTAGGAAAGTGAATGCTGAAGCCCTCACAAAATGCAGAGGCTTTTCTTAACCCGAGCACTGAAAAAGAGCCAGATACCCTGCATGGGTTTGAAAGTGACAAGAGCCTAGCGACTGACCAGAGCAGCGCCAGGTTTGAAGTGACGAGGAGGGTCTGTGTCATGAAGTCTGCATTTCCACTGAGGACTCTTCCATCACCAGGGTAGCGCTGGTGCAGGTCTGCCGCCCGGCACAGCAATGCTGAGAGGTGCCAGTGTAGACCCGATCCACTGCCCTCAGCCCCCACCCTGACCCTGTTCCCTCAGCCTCCCCCGCAGTTCCCCCTGTACCTCCCACCCTGAACCCACTGCCCTCAGTCCCTGCCCCGTTCCAACAGCCTCCCCCACAGTCTCCCTGCTCCCCCCAACCCACTGCCCTCAGCCTTGCCCTACCCCAAAACTCTTCTTCAGCCTCCCCCGTCATCCCACCCCCATCGCTCCCCTTGCTGTCCCACCCCCTCAACTTCCCCCCATTCCAGTCCTGCTCCCCTCTGTCTCATCCCTTCCAGACCCTGTCCCTTTCCCCAACCTCTCGACCCTCCCCAGCCCAGCCCCATTGTCTCCCCCGCCCCACCCCACTCTACACAGCTCTCTCTACCCTGTCCCATTCATGCTCCCCTCAGCCTCTACCCTACTCCCCCATCCCAGTCCTGTCCCATCCCCCTCAGCCCCCGCCAGTCCCAGTCCTGTCCCCCTCAGTTCCTCCACCCTGCTTCCCTGGTCCATCCCCACACACCCGCCGACTCCCTTGACCTCCCTCCCCCCAATCCCACTGCCTGGACCCACCCCCGTCCCACTCAGAGCATGCAGGAAAAAGAAGCAATGGGTTTAAATTGTAGCAAGGGAGAGTTAGGTTAGACATTAGGAAAAACTTCCTAACTGTAAAGGTAGTTAAGCACTGGACAAATTACCTAGGGAGGTTATGGAATAGCAGTCATTGGAGTTTTTTAAGAGGTTAGACAAACACCTGTCAAGGATGGTCTAGTTGTTATTACTCAGTCCTGCCTCAGTGCAGGGGTTTGACTAGATGACCTGTTGATGTCCCTTCCAGTCCTACATTTCTGTGATTCACACTGAATTGCCTTGTGCCACTGTCTAGTAGTAGTGGCACACAGTTCTCTGACATGCAGGTTTATAAAATTGTAGTTAATATACAGTTTAGAGCATAGCAGTTTTAAAGCTCTGCATGTTCAGACCAACTGACCTGAAAATTGTGATCTTGTATTCAAAACTATTAAGATGTGGGATGAAATAAAATCAGCATGAATTGCTCAACAATATCAATGGAATCAGCATTGCACTGCTATATATTGTAAAACATTACAGTGAAATCTTGCAAGTATTACATAGAACGCCACCTTGCCCAAGTGGTAACTAAGCACAACATCTTCCTGTTTCAACATTCTTAATTTGTATCCCTCCTAGACGTTTTTTTTTTTCAAACACTGAATGCTGCTAAGTTATGAGTTTTAACAGGTTTTTTTTTCTTTTAAACCACAGCACTGAATGTTATTCTAAAATTGTTTTCCAAATATTCTTAAACTCCCAGTTTATCCCCCGCTGATGTTCATTGTGAAAAGTATTGCAGGTCTAATAATAATATTTGGCACTTTTGTAATTCACTGTCCAACATGTGTTTTGTGTCCTCCTCTGGTGGATTTTTAGAGGATAATTGTATAGCTACCAGCTAAGGGAGTTATAGCTTGAACTCAAGTAGTAGAAGCTCATGCTTTTAAGTCTGGATGGCTCGGGTTCAATCTTTGGTGACTAGCTATGATGGAGGTTGCCACACTTATCATCCCTTTAATCAGAAGTTCTGAATATGCTTGTTGTAGGCAGAGCTAGTCTATAGTTAAGCAACCGAAAATTTAGAATGGAAAGTGTTGAAATGTTGGGAAGCCTTATAATTTTGCCAATCTGGAACGAACATGCCATCTGAGGGATGGGGGTGGGGAGAGAGGAGAGTGAGACAGGACCAGGAAACTGGGACAAGGAATCCAGAGCGGAAATGTGGGGCAGTTGAAATCAGATGAGGAGCTGGGGCGGGTTAGACAGCAATAGGATAGACATAGACTGGAGGGGATGGGGAAGAAGGGTCTTTGACTACTAGAGACCACTCCGTTCTCCGAACATTTGATTCGCGGGAAGCAGGGGAGGGGGAGGAGCAGGGGGCGGAGCGTTCAGGGGAGGGGGCGGAGTTGGGGCGGGGACTTTGGGGAAGGGGCGGAGTTGGGGCAGGGCAGGGCCGGGGCCCCTTGGAGTGTCCTCTTTTTCCAGGACTGCAATATGGTAACCCTACCCTACCCCTTGTCCTGATTTTTCATACTTGGTATCTGGTCACCCTAAGCCTGAATTAAGGTTCCACAGGCAAGTAAAACCCTGGCATTCCTAACTTTTGAGTGCTTGTCGTTGCAACCTAAATAATAGTATTTTAATGTAGGGTTTTGAAAAGGTTAAAATTAGGTACACCTTTTGCAGCATGAGCAGAGTTTGACCCTGAACTTGCAGTGCTGCCTGCTACTCCCTGACCTTCCCCCTGTGTGTCTATTTCCCTTTCTGCCGGCTGGGCTGTTTTAGACAATGAGCTGCTCCTTTGGGGGCGCCCCAATTCCCATGGGTAACTGATTACAGTATTGCCCACTCCAAGCATTTAAAAAGCATGAGCCACCCCCCACAGGATGAGAGTGCTTTAAAAAACGTGGGATTTAAAACCCTACTAATAATTACTGCGGGGCTGGTTTTGTTTGCCAGCTGGTTTCTGAGCCTTCAGGCTGCACTGGGGTCACATTTTCAAATTTTCTCTGCAATCAACAAGGTTAGAAACTTCCTCTCTTTAGCAAACAAAAGCAGAGTCTCACCTCAGCACAGGCTGAAAGGAGCTGGGGCTTTAACAAACCAACCAGCCACAGCACTGCAACCAACCAAAGCAATGAAAGATTGTGAGCCTGAGGATAAATCCCAGGAGCTGGTGACACCACTGGCAGGACTCCCCCTTTCCACTGAGTTAAGTGAGAATCAGGCTTTTCAAACATTGATTCTGCCTTACCCAAGGTTTTAGCCCGTGCATTTAATATCAGCCTCAGACACAGCAGCCTGCCCCCGGGAAGCCCCACTGACCCTCCACACGAGCTAAGGGGCTGATTGCAGGGCCAGAGCCCTGGCTGCACATTTTTTCACAAAAGCCTCCAGGGCTGAAATTAACAATGGGCTCCTTCCCGCTCCAACAGCTGGAGTCAGTTCCAGGTGGGGACACGCCCCCTTGCTGCTGCAGGCGGGGCCTAGTGTGAGCTCGGGAAATTCAAACCTAGGGTTCCCCTGCCCGGAGAGAGCCATGGCTGCAGAGACCCCGGTGGAAAGTCTCCAGGACCAAGCCACGTGTCCCGTCTGTCTGGAGTTCTTCAGAGACCCTGTCACTCTGCAGTGTGGGCACAACTTCTGCCAAGCCTGCATCAGCCAGTGCTGGGAGGGATCTGACACCGGCGCCTCCTGCCCCCAGTGCAGAGAAACTGTGCAACACAGAAACCTCCGGCCCAACAGGCAGCTGGCCAATGTCCTAGACATAGCCAAACGGCTGAGTTTGCAGGCAGCAAAGGGAGCAGCAGGGGAGAGGGTGGGTGGGGAGCACCAGGAGCCTCTCAAGCTGTTCTGCGAGGAGGATCAAACCCCCATCGGTGTGGTGTGTGACAGATCCCGGGCTCACCGCGCTCACACCGTGGTTGCCATAGAGGAGGCTGCCCAGGAGTACAAGGTAGGGAATTGTGGTCCAGTCTAATGGGTAATAACTTTGGGTTTTAATTACGGATTAGTGTTGGCAGAAATTGCCTGACACAGGTGTGATTTGCCACTCAGCTGTGTGTAGCCTTCATTGCTATATCAGAAGCTGTACAAATTAATGAGACTCCAGCCTGGCCAGAAAGGCAACAGAAGCAGGTTTTAAATTTGGCTGAGGTGGGAAAGTTTTCTCTGAGCAGCTGAACCCTTCTCAAACCCAGCTGCCACCAGTGAACTATGGGAACTCCCTCAGACCAGAAGCTGTGAAATGAGGAGTGAGGTTTGGTTCACAAGAGCTGCAGGCGGGTCTATGTGGGAGTGCTGCCCTCAGGCTGGAGAAGGCGGAGTTATGAGATGTGCCTGTTATTACTGATTCGTCACTGATTTTATTCTTGTGATTTGCATCCCAGCAGCCCCTAAATGGGAACTGACCTCAATGGGGGGGGGCAGCACAAAACCCACAGAGGGACAATCCCTGCCCCGAGGCATTTACAGTCTGACAGGACAGGACAGGCAGGGTGGCAGGGGAAACAGAGGCACAGTGAGGGGAAGTGACTTGTCCAAGGTCACTCAGCTTGTCAGTGGCAGAGCTGGGTATAAAACCCTGGTTTTCCGAGGTTCAGGCTAGTGCCCTAACCACTAGGTTATCTAGTAGGACCTACAGTCATCTCCACTCTTGTGTTCTGGGTGGAAAACCAGCCCCTACAAACCTACTGTCAGGCCTCAAAATCAAACCACCAAATCGTTTCTGTTTGTCAGGAAAAGATCCAGGCCCATTTGACGTCTCTGAGGGAACAGAGAGAAAAGCTCCTGCTGTTGAAAGTAAATGGAGAGAAAAGAAGCCAGGAGCATCTGGTAGGTGCCCATTGTTTTTCACCTGCTGGGACATGGAGAGGGGCGGTTTGTTGGTAGATTTCTGTGTGGTGTGGGGAATGTGGGCTTGTTTATGTTTCTCCATGATCATGGGATACTGTGTGTGTGTGTGTGTGTGTGTGTGTGTGTACACACGTGTGCATCACAAATGTTCTCTCCTTGGAGGAGGACAACAGCATCTTCTGCAGCATCTAAAATGCATTTTAATTAATGAGTTAATTACTGTCCCTTGGGGCTTTCACAAAACTTCTCCCGAACTGCACTGACTGTATCCCAGCAGTGCCGTGTGCCGGCGTCATTTCTTGTATTTTTTAAAACCATTTGTTTATTTCCCCCCCCTGATAATTCTATCAATGTGGAGCTGAGTTCTGTTGCCTGCTGCTCTGGGTCTGGCGTCTCAGGGTACGCCCACACCGCCAGCAGCAGTGAGCCTCCGGGCCCTGCTCAGCAGAGTTGGACTCATGGGGCTCGCAGTAAAGCACTACAAATAACTGTGTAGACAGCACTTTTAAACTGCAGCTCGAGTGGGAGCTCAGGCTCTGAAATCCACTCCCCTCCCTCCCTCGGCTTCAGAGCCCAAGCTCCAGCCCGAGGCCCAGTGTCTACACAGCTGTTGTTAGTGCAGTAGCTGAGCCCCAAGAGCCTGAGTCTGCTGCCCTGGGCTCTGAGGCTCACTGCTGTGGGCTGTGTAGACGCACCCTCAGAGGCCATTGGGAACAGTGTCGGAGCCACCTCTGACATGGAGACACCCCTTTAAGGGATATTGGGGCCAAATGGGAAGCTGTAGGAAAATCCTCTCCCTTGGAATCCCAAGGGATACTCAAGTGTCAGGATGTGAAGAATTACAGATTTCAACCCCCAAACCACAGGTCCCAGACTGTCACTGCAACCTATCAGCTCTCCGGAGCCAGCAAGGGAGGGGCTACTGGAACTCTGGCCCACCAGAGGATCCGTCTACGAAGCTCCTGATTGGAGCAGGCGTTCGAATACATGACTTACGCCAGCAGGCATCACAGGAAGTTGCCCAAACTACTGAGTGAACTCCAGATCTGCTGCTGGACTGGACCCTGACAGTGGCTTGACCCTGGCATAGTTCCTGGCTCAGGTTTGACCTGCAGTACTGCTGTCTGTCTCCGGCCTGACCCTTCGCATGGCTGTCTGACTCCGACTCCAGTGCTGATCCTCACGTGACTCCTGACATTGATTCTGGCTCAGCCTTTGGCATGACTCTGATCTCGACTCTGACCCCAACCCTTGGTGAGATCCTGACTCTGACTCCAGGTTTGACTCTGGTTTTAATTCCTGGCTTCCAATTCCAGTTCTGACCACTAGGCCTGACTGCTTGTGCCCTGGTCCCTACACAGATGTCTTAGAGATTGTAAAGGAATTCTCTCTTGTAAGACTCTATTAAAGGCCCTCAGGTGCCATCCATGTTCCTGACCAGCCCTTTCCTTATTTCTTATAGATACAGACTCAAACCGAGAGACAGAAGATTGTGTCTGAATTTCAGCAACTGCGGCAGTTCCTCGAGGAACAAGAGCGACTCCTGCTGGCCCAGCTGGAGAAGCTGGAAAAGGAGATTCCGAAGATACAGAATGACAATGCCAGTAAACTCTCTGAGGAGATTTCCTGTCTCAGCAACCTGATCAGTGAGATGGAGGGGAAGGGTCAGGAGCCAACGAATGACTTCCTGCAGGTTAGACTGAGTTAGAAACATCCCAGATCCTCACACAGGGAAGGGAGGGCTCCTGAATCATAAATACTGGAGTCCAGCAGTCAGAGATCTCAGTGTCACTCAGTGTGTGCATTCCTGAGATGTGAGTGACTATTGTTCTTTGAAGAGTTACGGACACATTGATATTAGAGCAGGGAAAGCCCCATTAGCTCAGGGAATCCATGGGCCTGGAGCCAGGGCAGGGGCTCTTTTCCCCATAGTTGCAAAATCCCTTCCCTGGGATCTCGTGTGTGTGTCAGAGGGGACTGAGATTCTTTTCTCTCTCTCCTCTAGGACATCAGAAGCACCTTGAGCAGGTACGTGTCTCTCTCTCACTCCCCCTCACACGTCACAATGCTGGCTTGGAGATGATGTTAGCAGCACATTTCCCCAAGGCTCTTCAGCGAAATGTGTGAGGCAGGGTCACATTTGGGATATAAATCTCTCTGATTAACTTCATCCTGAGGGTCTCACCCTTTTAGAGAAGACTCTAGAATTACCTATTGAACAGGAAAGATCTCCAGAATATCATTTAGGTTAATATCACATCCCTGGGGGCCTGGCTGCCTCAGGGTTGTGGGGATGGAATATGAGCCTATCACTGCCAGCGCACTGGTCACCATTCAGCCCAGGGCAGCAGTGATCAAGAGCACATCCCACCAGAGAGCTGTTTGGAGACCTGTGTGGAATGAGCGGGGGAGGTGGGAGTTGATGTATCAGCATAGTTCCTAGTGGATAGATTTCTACAGCACTTCACATGAGAACTTTGTATCCCTCCGAGCATGGAGGCCAAGGTGTGAATTGGCCATGGAGACTCACACCCCCTTTTATCCCCAGAGCTGGTCTCTCCAGGCCAGAGTTGTAGAATATCAATGGGACCTTCAGAGGGAAGGTTTTACTGCCATGGCTTGTGCTCCACCTGCTCTGAGGCTGGGAGAAGCAGAGGAATTCTAATTCCAGGCCCATTAGAGCAGCAACTTTCACAAACAACAAATTAGGCTGTGTCACTAAATGAAATATAAGAATGTGAAATTTTCTCTTCAGGTGTGAGAAGGGGGAGTTCCAGCAGCCAGTGGAGATTTCTCCTGAACTGGAGAAGAGACTCAGCAATTTCTGCCAGCAGACTGTTGCTCTAATGGAGACACTGAGGAAGTTCAAGGGTACTGAGAAGGGATCTACAAGGGGAAATTGGGATGAGCTTCTGAGACTGTGGGAAGAGGTGGGCGCTGTCCAGTTGGTTCATCATTACGTGACATCTCTATTGAATGAAAGGTGGAAAGTAGAGCAATAGAGCAGGTGTAAAAGGGGCCCAGGTGTCGGGATGTCTCACATTAATTCATGACTTACCAGAGGTCACGACATTGAGGCTCAAATTTAGCAAAATGGCCTAATTTTGGGTCCCTGATTTTCTCTCCCAGCTAGAGAACTTGCAAAGCTCTTGGGGGTCAGAGAAACAGGGGTGCTAGTCTGGCTGGATCTCAGGACTGCCCCAGCCTGTGCCAAGGTCTGCACAGGCCTCTACAGCTACTGACTAGGGGAGTCACTAACTGCCCCCTCTGCCCCTTTGCCAGTTGAGGGTGAATCTGGCCCGTTGAGCCGACCGTCTCCCAGCTCGAATTTCCACACGTATAAAATGATTTTATTATTTGTATTTCAGTGTAAGGAGGATGAGGGCCGCATTGTGCTGAGCTCTATGGAGATGCTGAGTGAATAGACCCAAGGGGTTTACAATGAAGAGCCCTGACCCTGCAAACTCTTAACAGCCCGTTAGGGGCACAAAGTGTGTGAAGTTACAGTCACACTCAAGTCTTTGCAGGATCTGGCTCCAGGGCAGCGTTTCTCACAGGCAGCCACCAGCAGATGTTTTTCTGCCATGACAGCCGCTCTGGGTGGAGACTGGGGGACCAAAGTGGCAGCCGCCTCTCCCTGCAACACCCAGCAGTTGCTCCTGAATAGCTGTTACCAAGGGCAGTGAGGTGCACTGCCGTGGTGTTTGTGCTGGGACCTGGGCCGCCGCAGCACCACTGGGGACACGGGCTGGTGAGTGAGGCACTGGAGGCAGCTGCACCCTGGGCAGCTTCCCTACCTCCACCCAGCCGGGGCATGGGGAGTCTGGGGTTCTGCAGGCAACCAGAGAGTTCCTGATCCACCTTCCCTGGGGCAGGCTCTCGCTGAAGGGCCATGGGAGGCAGGGACAGAGAGACTCGTTCATCAAGATCTGGTGGCCACACTCTGAGGCCACCAAAATTTTTGTTGTGAGATCCCTTGGTCTAGGATCTGACAAAATGCTCTAGGTGACTCAGACAAAGGAGGAGGTTAAGTCCATTAATGGCTATTAGCCAGGATGGGTAAGGAAGGGTGTCCCTAGCCTCTGTTTGTCAGAGGGTGGAGATGGATGGTAGGAGAGAGATCACTTGATCATTACCTGTTAGGTTCACTCCCTCTGGGGCACCTGGCATTGGCCACTGTCGGAAGACAGGATACTGGGCTGGATGGACCTTTGGTCTGACCCAGTATGGCCATTCTTCTGTTCAAGCCAGCTGGGTTTGGAGGGTGAGGAGGGGATGATGAGGGGAATCTCTCTTACTGATTGTATCTCCTAGGGTGGTTGTGAGACCTAATGGCTGTTGGTTCCATCTGGGAGATGCCTGAATGAAAGAAAGGGGAAAAGGAAGGTCTCAGATTAGTTTTTATTTCTATTAAAGACCTGAGTGTGTCTCTGACCCTCTGTTAGTTTCTCGGTCTAAATTCAAAACAAATTAGGTCACTTCAGAGTGGAGATGTCGTTATAAATATGAAGAAGTGAGGTTCTTACCCATGAAAGCTTATGCTCCCAATACTTCGGTTAGTCTTAAAGGTGCCACAGGACCCTCTGTTGCTTGTTATAAATATGAAAGCCGGAAATCTCATCTCTTTTCCCTTTCCCCCTCCAGACACTCTGCCGTCTGCCCTGGAGACACACATTGGGGAATCCCTAGGAGCACTCAGACAGGGTGAGATTATCTTTAAATTATGAGAAAATTCCAATGAAAACATTTTCATGAAATTGTAGCTACAGTTAAAAAATAAACCCAGCCCTGGCACCACAGTCCCAATACGACCACATTGAGCAGTGAGGAGATCCCAGGCTGGAGTCACACAAACACTCCTGACACCAACCAGAGTGCTGAGTTCGTGCCCACACTGGTGCACAGAAACACTCACTGAGCAGCATCCAGGCACCCTTAACTCTGACCCTGAGTTTTTCATACACATTCATTGGCCTTTTGATAATGAATCGAGAGGAATGAGTAGCGAGCCCTCTCCCCTGAGGGCTGAGCCTCTCCTTTACCCCGGCAAAGGGGGCGGGGGGGCTCTCCCATTGGAACATCTCACTCTTTAATTGACTAGGGAGATGCTCTCCCTCTGACACTGCCCCCCCCCTTCTCTCTGGGCTGGCGCTACCCCACCCAATGCCTCCTCCTATGCTCTTCCCCCAGGCTGCACCTCTCTGTTTTCCAGCCGGGAAATGGAGGATGCAGTTTGGGGAGGGAGTTTCCCTCAGTGGTTTAAAGCTGGTACCTGCCTCCTCTGCTCCCTCCTCACTAAAAGCATCGGAAACCGTCCTGGCTGTGTCTGTGCCCTGGGAATGGAGCAGCCCCAGCAGCGGGAGCCAGGAGCTGAAGCCTCTGCAAACAAATGAGAAACCAATTAATTGCCTCCAATTAAACAAACTGAGGAGCTGCTGTGACATCTCTGCTCAGTGTCAGGTGCCCAGGACAGAGGCAGCGCCCTGGGATCCAGGCCTGTCCCAGCCAGACCAGGGCTGCTGGGGTGTGTGAGAAATGGTCCCAGCCTCCCCCAGGGCCGAGCTCTGCCCCTAACGCTGTGATTCTCTCTGTCCCCAGTGACTGTGACTCTGGATCCAGACACGGCTCATCCCAAACTCGTCCTGTCTGAGGATCAGAAAAGTGTGAGCCAGGGAGACACCCGGCAGGATCTGCCTGACAACCCTGAGAGATTTGACACTGTGCAATGTGTGCTGGGCTGTGAGGGATTCACCTCGGGGAGACATTGCTGGGAGGTGGAGGTGGAGGGTGAGGAACGCTGGGCTGTCGGGGCGGCCAGAGAATCTGTGAGGAGGAAGGGCTGGATCCACCTTTACACTGAGGGGGAAATCGCAGCTGTGGGGCAGTGGTGGCAGGGTAAGTTTGAGGCTCTCACCTCCACGGGGATCCGCCTGCCCCTGCGCTGGGTCCCCAGGAAGCTCCGTGTTTGTCTGGACTGTGAACGGGGGCAGGTAACGTTTTTTGATTCTGGTGATGAGACTCTGATCTTCGCTTTGCCACTCACCTGTTCCCCTGGGGAGAGAATCCACCCCTGGCTCCGGGTAGAGGCCAGAACCCGGCTCAGACTGTGTCCCTGAGACACTGGGGAACCCTGAAATCAGCCTCTCTAGCCCCATACACCCTCGTCAATCTGACGCCAGAGGACTGCTGTCTTCATGCAGTTGCTGTGACCTTGCAGGCTCCATAGAGCCTCTGGACTGTCAAACCATAGAGAACAGGGTAGGGAGGGATGGAGGTAGAGAAGCCAATCTCAGTGCCCCAAGGATTTTGTAGCCGGTTTGTCACTGTTCTCTGTGATCCAGGATGATTCTGAGCATCCAGACTCCGACCGTGTCACTGGGCTTCTCTAGCTCAGCGGTGGATTTAGAGTTAGGGGGGCCCCTGGCCCTGTGCTCAGCTTCATTTTTAGGGCCTTTCCTTGGGACCCAGCCAAGAAAAAGAACACTCTCTCTTATCTCCCCCGTCCCCGTTTTTCATTCTTTTTTTCTTCAGCCTCCTATAAGTAATAGCAAGTAAATGAAAATAAAGTGAGGTACCTTGATTATTTTTTTAGTCTAACTTATTTTTCCACAGACCACTTGAAAATCGCTGGGGGTCTCGGTGGACCACGTAATGATCTTTCCAAATACTGTTTGTACCGTTAGCTAACTATTGTAAAGCGCTTTGGATAAGAGCGCTTTATAAAAAAAAAAGTAAAAAAACATGTTGGGGTGAAGGGTCTGGCCAGGAGTTAGGGTGCAGGAGAGGGCTCAGGGTTGGGGCAGGAGGTTGGGGTGTGGAGTGCTTACCTGGGGCAGCTCCCATTTGATGCGAGGGGTGCAGGTGGGGATGTGGGGGGGGGGGTGCAGGAGGGCAGGGAGCTGAGGGTGTGGGGGGGTAGGGGGTGTGGGGGTTGCGGGAGTCAGGGCTGGAGGTTTCTGAGGGGGTGCAGGAATCAGGGAGGGCAGGGGGCTGGGGCTGTGAAGGGGGGTGCAGGAGTCATGGCTGGGTGTGTGTGAGGGGGGTACAGGACTCAGGGAGGGCTGAGGGGAGTTCAGGAGTCAGGGTGGGGGGCAGGGTCTGGGAGGGAGTTAGGGTGTAGGAGCAGGCTGGGAGTTGGGGTGCAGGGTCTGGCCAGGAGTTAGGGTGAGGGAGGGGGCTCAGGGTTGGGGTAGGAGGTTGGGGTGTGGAGCGCTTACCTGGGGCAGCTCCCATTCGGTGCGAGGGGTGCAGGTGGGGATGTGTGTGGGGGTGCAGGAGCTCCCGTTTGTTGCTCAGGGAGGGGTGGGGATGTGTGGGGTGTGCAGGAGTCAGGGCAGAGGGCTGGGGGTGGGGGCTGGGGTCATGGGGGTGCTCCCAGCGCCCTGCCCTGAACAGCTCACCGCTGGGGGGAGGGTATGTGTAGAGGGAGTGCAGGGGCCCTGCCTTTGCTCCACCCTGCCCTGATTGCACCCCCTTCCCCAAGGCCCCGCCCCTGCCTCTTCTCCGCCTCCTCCCCCGAGTGGGCTGCGGCCCCTCTCCTCCCCCTCCCTCCCGGAGCACCTGGAGTGCGGCAAACAGCTGTTCAGCGGCGGGGGAAGTGCTGGGACTGGGGGGAGAGGGGTGGGAATGTGGCGCGCTCGGGGGAGGAGGCGGGGGAGGGAGGAGCTTGGCTGCCGGTGGGGGCGAGCGGAGCCTGCCCTGCAGCAGGAGCCCCAGGAGACGACAGGACCAAGACTTCTGCTCCCACAGCTGCCCGGCCCTGGGGTGCCCTGTCATTGGGGGGCCCCGTGCCAGGGCACCCTGTGTTTCACTGTAAATCCACCTCTGCTCTAGCTACTGTCATCTCAGTCTCTGTGACCCTGGAGTACCTCTGTCCCCAGCACCTGGCTCCCAGGGGGAGCTGAGAGCCACATTGAACCAAACTATAAATCCTGTATATGATGGAAACCACTTTCTGCCAGGGGTGCACCCCTCGTTCCAGCACATATGCTGGCTCCTCATCTCTATGACCCCTGGAAGCTCCTCCCCCATCCCTCTGTGCAGCACCAGGAGTAGCAGAGGTGCCCTGAAGGGCAGATGTGGGAGCTCCAGGGGCAGAACTTACAGCTGGCTGGGGACAGGCAGATGGGGATGGCAGGGACACCGGATTAATCAATCAGGGTTTGGGGGGCTGGGGAGAAGCTGGAAGCTCTGCAGCAGCAGGGAGTGTTTTGTACCAATCTGTGTCATTAGATCTCACTGGGGTCTCCTGCCACAGGGGCCAAAGCCACCTTCCCCTATAACGATGGGAGAGCGGGTACCACTGTATCTGTTCCACACACACACACATCAAAGGTGATCAAACAACTCCTGAGATTGGGAATATGGGAGAGGCCGGGACAGGGCGGGTTTAACCAGAGGGAAGAGAATCAAGAAGAAAATGTGAATTAAAATAAAACAAGAACAAATAGAGAATCCTGGAGAAATAGTGAACAATAGAAATGAAAAGAGTGAAAGGAAAGTATCCCTGACAGGGGAACCGGCCAGGGGGCAGCAAGAGCAGAAGGGATAAAATCAGGAGAAAAGAATGGAGCAGCCAAGGAGGAAGATCTGTGACGGAGAGGAGAGAGGGAGACGCACAGGGAAGGGAAGGGAGGGCTAGGAAAATTGTGAGTAGAAAAGGACAGAATGAAAGAAAAGGGAGGAAAAGGGGAATGTGACAAGGACAGAGCTGTATTAAATGTTATGGAAAGTGAGACTAACTCATGATTTCCCTAGATTAATTCCTGCACATCGGTGCTATTATAGTGCCATTAAGAAACCTGTACTCCAGTGGTCCCCAATGTGGTGCCCACGGGCGCCATGGCGCCCGCCGGGGCATTTATGTGCGCCCGCCTAGTGCCCAGCAGGGGAGAGAAGCTGCAGCCCCGCGCCTGACGGGGACAGAGTACTCCGGGGCTGCAGGCTGCGGGCGCCGGTGTTCTCTGTCCCCGGCAGGCGCGGGGCCTGCCTAGTACCCAGCAGGGGAGAGAAGCCGGGGCCCCGCACCTGCTGGGGACAGAGAACTCCGAGGCTGCAGGCGCTGGTGTTCTCTGTCCCTGGCAGGCGCGGGGCCTGCCTAGTGCCCAGCAGGGGAGAGAAGCCGCAGCCCCGCGCCTGCTGGGGACAGAGTACTCCGGGGCTGCGGGCGCCGGTGTTCTCTGTCCTCGTGGCTTCTCTCCGGCTTCTGTCTTCTCTCTGGATTCATATATTATGTAATATTAAATATGATGTTTTTTGTATTATTTAATGTACAAATACAAAATAAGCCTTGAAAAATTGTTGGTGCCTGCCACACTCTTCTGAAAACATGAATGTGCTACTGGCCACAAAAAGGTTGGGGACCACTGCCCTGGGGGATTTCTAAATATCACAGAGGACAATGTCCTGACTCAAAAGTTGCTGCATCCCACACAAATGCCATATGAGACCTTGTCCTGGCCGAGAAAGAATTGATCACAGAACTAAACATCACAGGTAGTTTGAGTAAAAGTCCTTGTGACTTGAGCACATTGTTATATACGAACACCGAACAGAAACCAGACCAATAACATACATGGATATATTGTGCTTTTAAAAGGGCAGTTTCATAAAACTGGAACTGAATTGAGCCAATGAGCTCAGAAGAAGGATCTAAATCGAACAAAGGTGACTGAGAATTGAGTGATGTTTAAGAACACTTTAGTCAATGCCCGGAAGTTGACAATTGAAGGTGGCAGCACACTGATAAAAACCCCACAAACCTGACTTAGAGGGGAACTGACAGCATTTCTATAAAATCAACCTACCCACATCAGCTCCGGGTTCCAATCCAGGGCCCGGCACTGCACAGCCAAGGCCTGTATCTGCTCCAAGCACCATTGACAAGAGGCCGTGGGTTCAAACTGCAGCACCACAGATCTCGAGTCAATCCCAGGAGAAACTGCCTCACCGTAAGAGCAGTAGGACAATGGAACAGAGGCCTCAGGAGGTCATGGAGGCTTCTTCATGGAGGTTTTCAAAAGGGGGGCTGGGCAGCCATCTGTCTTGGACACAACAAACCCTGCATCTTGGCAGGGGGTTAGACTAGAGCAGCGGTTCTCAAACCTTGACCCCCTTCTGACAACAAAATTACTACATGACCCCAGGCAGGGGGACCAATGTCTGAGCGCCGCCGCCAGGTAATGGCACATTCCTACGGGGAGCAGTTTAATACACTACACCTGTAGGGGGTTGAAGAGGGGCAGGGGATGTGAGAGCCAGAGGGCATTGAGGGGGGAACAGGGATGTGGAAGGGGGCAGGAGGGGGAAGGGGGCAGGAGGGAAGAACAGGGATACTGAGGGTGGGAGGGGGCCATGGGGATGTGGGAGAGGGCAGGAATTGGGGAACAGGATGCAGGGGGCGGGAGGGGGCAGGAATTGGGGAACAGGGATGCAGGGGGCGGGAGGGGGCCATGGGGATGTGGGGCTGCTGGAGGGAGGCTGGGGGAACACACAGGTATTGGGGCAGGGGGAGAATTCTGGGGCTCAGGGGAGCAGAGCTGGACTAGAGGGAAACTTTGAGTGTCGGATAAAGGGAAGGAAAGGGGGGATGTGGGGGAGGGGCTGTGGGGGGGCTGGAGGGAGACTATGGAGCAAGCAGAGGCTGGCTGGGGAGGGCAGAGCCAGAGGGCAGGAGGAGGGAGGGGGATGGGGAGAGATACAATGGCAGCTCCCCCAGCCCATGGGGTAGGAGGGGGGAGGGGCTGCCCCTGCCAGCAGCCACTGGGAATCTTTTTCCCTAGACATGGTCAAACCAGGGATATAAAAGGTTAACCGGTAAGTACTGGGTTTACCGGTTTGCTTACCGGTTAACCGGACCTTGCCAGTTAACCCCGCCAGCTGGCCAGCCCCCCTGGGCTGGAGGAGTCCCGGCCGCAGCGGGCTGGCCGTACCTGAGCCCCGGCCGCAGTGGGCTGGGGGGTGTGGAGCAGCCCCAGCCCCGGTGGTCGGGCAGGATCCTGGACAGAGCCGCGCTGGAGTGGCTCCAGGCCTGTCTGCGGCGGGCAAGCCAGCCTGGAGCAGACCCTGCCATACCTGGCCGGCGGGACCCCAGCCCCGGCTGCCCTGCGCCAGCCCACTGGACAGACCTCGAAGGGTTAACCGGTTATATGATTCATAGATTCATAGATTCTAGGACTGGAAGGGACCTCGAGAGGTCATCGAGTCCAGTCCCCTGCCCGCATGGCAGGACCAAATACTGTCTAGACCATCCCTGATAGACATTTATCTAACTTACTCTTAAATATCTCCAGAGATGGAGATTCCACAACCTCCCTAGGCAATTTATTCCAGTGTTTAACCACCCTGACAGTTAGGAACTTTTTCCTAATGTCCAACCTAGACCTCCCTTGCTGCAGTTTAAGCCCAT